TTTTCCAAGGGGGGTCCATTGTAAGTTCTTCCTTGTTTTAGTATATACATTTTCTAACCTTGTAAATTCCAGGGTGGGGGGGGGTCCTACACCCCCCCCCCCCCAGCAGATCCGTGCATGAATTTACATCATTAATAAAATTCAGACGGGTATATAATGAATTAAGCATGTATAAAATAAATATAAGAGGTTCTGAGTTATAGGTCACAGGGTCTGAGAATTGCATACTCAATTTGATGAATACATGTAAATTATAGAATTATTTTGACTATTTCTTTGGAATGCCGCCCAATATGTAGGAGCGTGTATTTAGAGGCAAACACCTTAGTGCGGGTATTACTGTCTCATGACAGCATCTAGTTATCATTTAAAGTGGTACTCCGTACAATGAAAGAGCCTCTGCAAGTTCAAAATCTTGTTTTCTGTGTTAATATTCGTTTAATTCCTCCTAAACCGACTATTCCCCAAATAACCCTTGCAAAACATTCACTTAGACCTAAAAGCTGACTACATGTTATTGTAGTATCTTCATTTGATTAATTATAACCCGAAACTTATCTGTAAGATAATGTAAATTTTCATTGATTATTTACCTTTCTGTTGATCTGATGATGACCCATGTAAGCCATTATTACTATAATCTGGATCACTTTGAGACATCTTCCCTAAAGCTTACCTGGCTTGTTATTCCTTTCTCACCTTCGCCTGGATCCAGCCGGGTAGTCCAGTTATCGTGCTGTTGAAGTCTGGTAGTTCCTCCTTTCTGGGAGCCTGTACTTCTGTCTGGATACTAGGTGACTCTTCATGTACCTGGGGCTCTAGCTCTTCCTGGATCTTGGCTGTATCCATCTGTTTACCGGGGCTCCTAACAGCTTCCTCCAGAGCTTTTTCTAGCGAGAGAGGGGCGGGATCAGCAATCCGGTAAGTCCGACTCCAGCTTGATCCCTGGTTCCTAATATTTCACCTCAGTTTAGTTCATTTCATATTAATCACATGTGATAAATAATGAAAATAAAAAAACAGAGAAAGCTTAGAATATAGTTCGATGGATAAAGAACATTGTACAAACGATATGTATGCAGAAGAGATACTGTTGACAATTATTTTTTTTTATTTACAACTAGTATTGTTTACGCATCTGCAATAATATTTTCGTTACTGTGTACGTATTGATTATTTGCAAAACATGAAAAAAACGAGAAATGATGTGTGAGAAATTCTCAGTTGCCAAAAAGGTTATATTTCCTTTTCTAACGAACGGATGTGTAAATGAAACCCTCATCCGCTCTCAAACCTTTACGCATTGTTTCTCCAACAGCTGATTGGCAAAATATTAACACATCAAAGTATGTCGTTATCAAGAAATTCTTCGTATTTCTCTGTACAACTTTGATTATATAAAATATTCTCCCACCTGTTGATCTCTCCTTTGATGGCCTCAAACGGAAGTCTTCCCAACTCCTCCAGGAGGCCTCGCATGGACTCGGTCAGTTCGGGGGGCAGTCTCCAAAGAAAGATACAGCCGTCACTGGACACCGACACCAGACGCTTCAGGTCCGGCATGAACTTGACACCATTGATCTGCTCCGAATGGCCGATCATGGTGGCTAGAATTTCCCCCGACTTGAAGTCCAGTAGACACATACTTTTGTCCGAACAACTAGTGACCGCGTACTGACCGGAGGGTCTAAATGAAGCTTTAGTAGCACCCCTTTAGCTCCCTCTGCTCCTCTGTAACACTGCGTTTGCTTCCCTGTTTCAATGCTGTATACTCTATAAAAGGTACATTTATCCATATATAATGCAGAAACTTTTTTTTTATTGAATGAAAATGATTATATTAAATTGTACATTGTTAAGATTACGTATTTGATATTTATGAATTCTTTTTTTGTTATAAACAAAATATTCGAATGATATCGCCATACCAACTAAACATTGTGACTTCGTGGTGGCCAGGTACAATTCGATTTACTGGTTTCTAAACATATTCTAACCATATTTTACATTCACTGTAAATGCATTGACCGTGGGGTTACAATTCCGGAAAATGTCAATTTTTAATCAATCTTCTTGTAGAAAAACAATTTCATGAATCTGTTAGAGGATATCAATAGTTAGGCAGATCCCTAGGAACACTATAGATATAATATCAAGTGCTTAGGAGAAGGGTTTTACTATAAGCACTGTGAAGTTAGAACTTAACATGTACAATGAGCAGTATTTTAAACTTCCACAAATATATTGGATTCCAAAACTTCATAAGAATCATTACAAATAAAAATACATTGCAGGCTCCAGTAAATGTTCAACCAAGTCTCTTTTGTTACTTCTACTAAGATATTGACAGTAGTGAGGGAAAAACTTCGTGCACTGTGCAACAATATATTCAAGAAGTGGTTTGAATCAATGTGGATACTCAAAAATTCCAAATAACTTTTGGACAGTTTGAAATTTACCAAAGTCAACAGCTTAAAACTTATGACTTTTCAACTTTGTACACAACCATTCCCCATGATAATTAAAGTCGAGGCTTTTTGATATTATTGACAGCTGCTTTTTCAATAAAAATGAATCTCGTAAATTTACCTACCTGGTCATTTGTCAAAATTATTTTGCTAAAACACATTCTGATTGCACAAATAAGAACTCTGAAGTTGCCATCGAAAAGTTGCTTTAGTTTATGATTGACAATATCTTTGTGGTTTTTGGAGACAAGTTCTTCCACAATCTAGTGGAATTCCAACAGGTACCAATTGCGCTCCGTTATTAGCAGACCCATTTATGTATTGAAATGAAGCAGAATTTATGCAAAATTTTAAACGTGATAAGAATAAAACACTTGCTGTGACTTTCAACGCGACATTAAGATATATCGACGACGTATTGTCAAATAATAATGGTCATTTCCATTCCTTTGTGGATACGATATATCCTTGTGAGCTTGAAATAAAGATACCACAGAGTCTGACACATATGTTTCATACTTGGATATTTTACCTGAAAAAGACAACAATAGCAATCTAAACACAAAGCTTTTATGATAAACGTGATGACTTTAACTTTCCCTTGCTTATGCAGCAATATACCATCACCTGCATACGGAGTATATATATTTCAATTGATTCGATACGCAAGAGCATGCTCAACTGAACAATTTCTATAACTAGGTAAATTAGTGACAAACAAGTTGATGAAACAAGAATATCAGCAGTCTCGTTTAAAGTCATTATCTTTTAAGTTTTATGGTCGATACAATGACCTCGTCAGCAAATACAATTTACAATGTATCATTGAGTAAAATGCTGACTGACTTTTTCATACTAATTGTAAGTACATTATTTATACATCAAATTGACAACGAATTTTTCCGTTATTTTCTGATCATGACAAGGAGCACGGCGGGGGTGACCGGTCAGCAGGGGATGCCCACACTTCCATGGCACCTGATCCCACCTCTGATGTTTCAGAAGTCCGTGTTTGTTCTGCTCTTATTCTTTTTTATTGTTTTATGAACATTAATTTAGAATAGAGAAAGCATATTTCAGATTACTATAGAATTTATATAACTTTCATGTGTAACGCAAAAATGTAATTTAGATCACAATAATTCATTTAATCGAGACCTAGGATCAAATCTTTATGTTTGTTTTCCGTATACATAGTGATTAGGTGAGTGTTTCGTTCAAAAAAGGTGTGTTTCCAAGAGTATTGATAAAGTGAACCTGATCCTAAAGGATGTCAAGGGATGTTTTGTCTACTTTTATATGAACAAGAAGCCCAAACTTCCACTGCCCTGTAAATTCTGGAATAATGTAAAAGTTAACGCAGATTACCTGATGTTTCGGTCTTGACATGCAGTTGCCATGTGTTTCTGTGTGGTTTCGATATCTATGTCATACAATGTATTGGTGCCTACGACATGTTGTTGTTTAGAAATTTCAAACTGACACTCTGGAGTCTGCAACAGAAAAAAAACGCTTGAAAACCAGCTTGTTTAAATGGTACTAGTATTCCAACAAATAAATTACGCTTCTTCAGCCAACATTAAACTTCAATGCATATTTTAATACAATAAAAAAATAATGTCATGCTGATTGAGGTATACCTTGTGTGCATCTCGGAAGAGAACAGATTTGTCTGTACTGGAACTGAGCAGCTTTATTTGTTCTTCGTTCTCCGTTAATTTGATGGCAGTAACAGAGCTGGAATGGTCAGCGAGGGTTTGCATCAAATTGTAACTCTGATCCACGTTAAAGACGTGAATAAGACGATCTCTACTACCAGACGCCATCAGCTTGGGAGCTTATCAAGAACAACTATTACTTTATGTAAAAATATTCCTTAACGACCCCTTCTGTCAGACGCAATTAGCGTAGGACCTAAGACATAAAAACTAAAATTTAATAGAAAAATTTGAGTCAAATTATAAAGTAATTATAATTTATACTGGGATTTATATCTTTTTTCTCTCTTTTGAAGCCAATGAATGCTCCAAGCTGCACCAAAAGCCAATGTTGTATTTTTTTTTTCAAAAAGAGACACTGTGAAAATACCCTCCTCGTGTACAATGATAGTAATTGTCATCTGGAGAAAAGTTTCAATATTATAGCATTTTATTTTCAGGAAAATGTTTTTTTTTTACTGTAAAATTGTTTGATGCAATTGTAGTTCAAAATTTACTGTATGGATCAGAAGTTCGGGGATTTAAGACTAACATTATATTTGAGTCATTCCTTCATTTTCACTCTTGAGAGCTCAAAATAATACTGCACGCTAATTCTATGTTCATTCATTATTAATTTTAAGATTTATATGTTGTCTGTACTTGTTTGCCTCACGTGAAGCTCAAAAATAAAATAAAAATTTTGAAAGTTTTAAAGCTAGTCCTCCTTATTTTAATGGATGTTCTGAGTGACAGGTTTCATACTTATTAGTATTGTTAGGCCTTTGTTTCATAAAAAATGAATATTCTGTCTATCTGATCAGTCATAAGGGCATATAAAGGATGTGACCGGTCGACAGGGGATGCCTTATTATCTTGGTCACCTGATTCCACTTTTGGAATTTCCATGGGCCTGTGATTTATCACAATTATGCCCTGTTCATCTATTTGTAAAGTTTTTTGTTGTTGTTTTAGAATTAACACTGTTCATTATCATCACCTTTTTAATAGAAACTATTATTTATATTGCAAAATGATTTATTTAATGGAATTCTTTTTAGCATGAAAGCAAAAGTCTATAATATTTAACATCCATGTCATTAATAAATTTATAGAATGTAACTTCTTTTTCCATGCAAGGATCTAAAAAAAACAAACTCACCCACCTGTAATTAGATTTGAGTATTGGACACAAAGAATTTCTTGGTCATGAGCTTCTATTTTCATAATTTTCTCAATATTTGTTACATAATGCACCCTGGAATTAACATTTAAAATGAACATTACTTCAAGCAGATAGCTCACCAACAGTCCAGAATGTTTCCTTAAAAATCTTTTTTGTTGAACAAAAGAGAAAAGTTAAATTCACATTCTCGGGAATGAAAGGTTTCGACTCTCAGGGCTTTCTGGGCACTAAGATTAATTACTGTTCAAAGCGGGCAAAAAATAATGTAGGCCACCATACTTAATGACGACTCAATGAAGCCCCCTTACCTTCATTAAAATTGAGGAATTAAATGAAGGTTTCATGCACGGATTCGTTCATTAAAACATTGATACAACTGAATTTAATGACAAATTAAAAATGATCAGTTTAATGAATCTTTAATCATTCATTAAATATTGATACAACCATGAGTGGTATATACATCTGTTCATTTTCCCACCACGAAATGTAAATTTTTATATAGTTACACAACCACTAAAAAGTTCTTCATCCACGAAATCAAATCCCCACGAACCAACATTGTTTCCTCAAACCACGAAAAAATATGTGATTTTACAGTACTTCCTGTTCGTCGATTTTGATGTTGCATATTGTGTCATTACAATTATATTACATTTGTGGTAGTATTTCAGAATCATCAATAGATGAAATTGAAGAAAATCCATTAAGCAATACAAAATAGAAACAGAGCAAACACAAATCTACAAAACATCAGAGGTGGGATGGAGGTGTGAGCATCTACCGTCGTGTGCTCTTTGTCTTGATCGGAAAATAACGAAAAATCCGTCGTCAATTCAGTGTATAAATAATAGACAACCGATAAATATGAAAAATGTCAGTCAGCCTTTAACTCAATGATAAATTGTTCTTACTGACAAGGTCATTATGTCGACCTTAGAACTTGTAAAATGACGACTTTAAGCGTGACTACTGATTTTCTTGTTTCATCAACTCGTTGTAGAAATTGTACATACGCGGATTCAGAAATTTTTTTCCAGGGGGGTCCACCCTTTCAAATATTCCAATCCCAGAAATTTCTTGACAAGCAAAAAAAAAACATTAACTCGCCCAAACGTGAAAAACCCATTTTAAGGGGGGGGGGGGAGTAATCTTTGACTTCCATTGCCTCAAATCTTTCACTTTTCATACCCTTTTTAGACATATTCATATTTATTAGGGGGGTCAATGTTTTCCAGGGGGGGGGGGTTCCAAGGTGACTTTTTTCTTGCTTTAGTATATACATTTTTCCAGGGGGGTTCTGAACCCCCCCCCGACCCCCCTTCTGGATCCGCGCATGCGTAGAACATACCTTTGCGTATCGAATCCACTGAGATTTATACCGTATAAAGACGATGTTATTTAGATGTATGCATTGTCATTATTATTTTTTTGATTAAGAGAAAGACATGGGTTTGACTCAATCTGTAAATTTAAATACAGTACGAACACTAGCCTTGTAAATACGTATCAGTCAATCAGTGGTAAATTCTCTACTTCCGCATCCTGTTGCAATAAAAGACCTCTGCAGTTACAGAGAATTCACAGCGTCCTAAAACTGAGTTTCTATGTTGATCATTATGTACACCAGCTGCATTTGGTTCCTCCTTTTGTAAGTAACACTAGAGCTATCTTATTATTTTTTTTTTGGAAAGAAAATAATCAACCGTTCTAAAAGTAATTCTACCTTTCTCTCTTTCTCTCTTTTTCTCTCTCTTCTGTCCATATTGCTGTAGTACATGTAAGCTAAAAAATTATGAAATATTTCAAATCAAAAATAAAATAATTTTTTGACTAACTTCAGTAAACATTTCAAATTAAAAAAAAATGATAATGACAATATATACATCTAAATAACATTGTCCTCATATTTCAGTTTCTTTTTAAGGCAATATGAGCTGTAACTTTGATGTCGGAACTTTTTGTTGTAATATTACAAAAAGCTACCACAATGACAGAATAAACTAACGTTAATAAACTTTCATTGTTCATTTTTCCGATGGAAGAACTATTAATACGCTTTGATTGAATCAAAATTACATTATTGTCGTCCTGTACAATGATGATGTCTTATATAAAACTGTATATTGGATTGTACATAGAAGTATTTCTTCTGCTTTATTTTAGTCAAATAGATCATAAAGATTTAAGTTACATACAAATTTACCAAAATTACAACAGTAAAATAAAATTTTCAAAAATGCAGCTCATATTGCTCTAAGAATTTATATTTACTAAAACACTAATTTAAGGATCACTGGAACTGGAATTGATGCTAGCCCTTGTACGAAAGTAATTAAAAACGTAGAACCTTACGAGGTCGTAGAGTGCACAAGTCGCATTTGGGGAAAATGGTGAGATTTTTAAATACAAGAAAAAATCAATAGAATGATACTAGTTATTGTTTTTCAATATATATATATTTAATATTATCACTGATATAATCATTTATATTATTTTATAAATTGGCATTACATATTTCACGAAAGATTTAAAAATAACTATGATAATCATTTTAATTTGTCAGTTTCTTTTATATAGAATATAAAGGAATATAGTTTTTGTAGTGTCAGTCCGTCCGTCTGTCTGTCTGTTTGTCCACAAAAATTTTAACCTTGCCCATAACTTTTGATTTAGTGAAGGTATGACTTTCATATTTCACATATATGTATTCCTTGTGAGAAGACCTTTCTTTGGGTCCCACCAAATTTGACATTTTGACCTTGGAATTTGACTCACTTTTACATGAAAAGTTTAAACTTTTATTTTATTTTGAACCGTAGATATCAGGACATTTATACTTTACATGTATATTTTTTGTTAAAAGACCTTTCATTGGATACCAACAACCTTAAGCTTGACCCTTTGATCTTAACCTTGTAGATTTCCATACTTGTGAAAAAATTTAACCTTGGCCATAACTTTTGAACGGTAAGGGATAGAGTTTTCATTCTTCACATATGTAATCTTTGTGAGAAGTCCCTTCATTGAATACCAAGAATTCTGACCCTTTGACCTTGACCTTTGAGTTTGACCTACTTTTAAAAAAACAAAAACCTTGACCATCACTTTTAAAGTATTATGGCTAGTGCTTTCATACTTAACATATTAATTTTAATTCTTGTGACAGGACCTTTCATTTGATAACAAGAACATTGACCCTTTGACCTTGGAGTTTGACCTACTTTTGAAAAAAATAACCTTGGCCATAACTTTTGAACGGTTAGGGCTAGGGATTCCATACTCTACATTAGTATTCTATATGGAAAGACTTTTCATTGGATACCAATTACCTTGACCTTTGACCTTGGGGATTTTTGTACTTATTTAAAAAATTTAATATTGGCCTATTCAAAGTCTTTAATTGTTTTCCAGTGAGAATATCCTACTTTTGGTATTAATTAATTAAATTTGCATTAAAGAAAACTTTCATTTTTGCTATGTTACTATACGGGGGCATCAGTGTTTCACAAACACATCTTGTTAACATTTGTATTTCTTGTGAAAAGGTCTTACTTTAGGTACCAGCATATTTGATCTGCATTTGAGAAAGGTTAACCTTCGCTTGATGTTGCCATACGGGGGCATCAGTGTTTCACAAACTCATCTTGTTTTCTTATCGTTATTACTTCAAGATGAATGTCATTTCTGTTCCGATAATTTATTCGTTAGATGGTTTTAATTGCTCAGTGAATGGAAGATGGAAGGGTCAAACAAAACTAAATCGCGATTAAAAATTTAATCTAACAGCCTTTAATTTTCACCAAGCTCTTAGTACTTTGAGGTAAAGTCGGGTTTCTTTCTTTTAAACGGCATACTTTTCATCTTGAAATGGTTTCTTACGTATTTTACAGTACTCACTATGCTACTTTATGGCGATATCGCGTGTCCTATAGACGGACATGTTGTGCCGGATATGGAGGTTATAACTGTCAACGTAAGTACCTTATACAAGGGAAAATAGAAAGATGCCAGAATACCATATAATATTTTAAAGCAATATGAGCTACAATTTTGATGTCAGAAAATTCTGTAGCAATCTGAATGACAAAAAAAAAGAAGACCTTTTTTTAATATCTATGGTTAATATTTCCTAAGGAAGAACTTTTTATAAGCTTTGATAGAAGCAGAATTACATTATTGTCGTCCTGTACAATATAAACCCTTTTATAATACTATATATTTCATGTACAGATGTATTTAATCTGACATTTAGAAAACAGTGGCGTATATTCCTTTCTGCTGATGTGTAGGCTTGTGTGAAGTCACGGTATTTAATTCCAGAGCTGCAAAGTGTGGGTAGTCAAGGAGCTTCCTCTCGATAGATATTGGGGGGTGGGGGGGGGGGGTGGGGGGTTCTAAGGGACAACTTTTGCAAACTCAGACATCTGCAATTTTAATTTGACCAGTGAAAATAATATTGTACATATATTATAGTTTATATCGTGATGTGAAGATAACTTAACAAAAACTGAGACCTTATCCTTTTACTCGATATCTGCTTAGAAAATATGGAAACTTCCTTACTAAATAATCAAAATTCGATCAAAATGTTGACTAACAAACATAATGCAAGTTATCAGTTTCGTTTCCTGTACATATTATGGGATCATTTTGCTTTTGATTAAATTTTCTGATACAGACTTGATATTAATAACACTTGAAGTTTGGCTTAAAAAATGTCAAGCTAAGGGAATAGTTTTGTCCTTCATTATAAAGCAAAACTGTAAACATAATCAAATAGGTATAAAAGTGTGGATAATTAAGAATGCTTCCCCCCCCCCCCCCAACACAATAATTAATAGGTACGATTTATTTTCAACTCCCCGCTCCTTCATTCAACCAAATTTTTATTCTTGAGAAAATGATGTGTAGGCTACAGCCTTTTTCCTATATGGAATATGCGCCACTGGAAAAGGTTTACTTTAGTTTAATAGATCATAACAATTTAAAATTCATAAAAATACCTTAATTACACATTTAAACTGAAAAAAAAATCAGCTCATGTCCCGGTATTGATTAAATCTGTATAACTCATTGCAAAGAAACAAAGAATAAAAAAGAGTTTAATATTTATGTCTCATGACACACAGTCATTCAAAATTCTACAAATGCTCAAAATATCTTAAATTCTAACTCTTCTTTTAAATTGTCGAATAAGAAAAAGACAGAAACTATAGCTGCGGTGAGCCTGTCGAGCATATGAGACAAAAAATTATTAAAGGAAACACTGTCTAGTTATTATAGTATGCCAGTGCATCAATGATAGTGGGACACGTGGGTGCTATGAATAACTGGTTGCACACAGAGGTATTTTTGCAGTGAAATATTTTTTGTTGGCTCAGAAAATTCTATTTCTGAAATTTGTTATGACATATCATTACATGATCCAAAATACATGTATATGCATAGTTGATATATTATGAAAGTCCAGAGGTAAAGGTAGCTATTTTTACCTACAATTAACACTTTTCTTAGTGTAAATATGTACAACAAATTATATCATTAACTCCCGCTTTTGATTTTCTTTTCTAATTATGAAACATATTGTTTTGAATCTCTTAAATTCAACAAAGGTTTAAATTTTTGATTTTTGAATCTGCTTCAATAAAGGTTTAAAATTAAAAAAAAAATTATGCTTGTAAAATTTTAATGCCAGAAAAATGACATTATGTTGGCTCTAATAGTCAAATAATTGCATGATTACGCGATGAAATTTTTATTTCACAAAATTAATGTGTATTTTCTACAAGAGAAAAAAGTGCATTTTGTTTCGTGATTGAACAGCTATATGCAGCAGATCCTGTCATTGGCGTGGTAGTTGTGTTGCTCCTAACGTCTGCCGCTGTAGGAGTGGGTATACTGGAAGTTCCTGTCAAACACGTAAGAAACTCTACAATGTACTGAGGAATACAAGCTACATTTTTAAAAAGAAATGAAACTTATTTATTACGATCATAACTTTCTCTAATATTTTGAAATTAATTTTTTTCTTTCTATATTAAAGCGTTTAATCATAGCTTGCTGTAAGTATTTCTATTTTTTGTTTACAGCTGTCTGTAATCCTGGCTGTCAGTTTGGGTCCTGTACAAGTCCTGGCGTTTGTTCTTGCTACCATGGGTACACTGGTAGTCGTTGCCAGACACGTAAATATTTTTTAAGGTTTTTCAAATAATTTATATATTTATTTTATAGCTAATATGTTCTACGGTGCGACCGTTGGGGCGAGCGCAGTTATTTACTATCAAAAACTGACACAGCATTTACTTGCACTGCCTAAACTCAGTTCATTTAAAAAGAAGAAAAGAATTTTTAAAAATCGCTTCCCAGGCATCGGGATCGAGATTCCGAACTTTTCGGAAGTTTCCGACAAAATCGGAAATACCCAAGCCGTTGAAGTGACGAAAGAATGACGTCAAATAAAAAGTCCTGTTGACTTAGAACGAAAACGATAGTTTTGTGACATGGAGATTGCATTAAATCGTTGTTTGTAATTTTTTTCAAGTACGTTGTTGCTATGTTTTAGCCACCATGTTGCTATGCACCGCAAAGGATTATTGGGATATGAGAATGTTTTCACGTGGACTCATAAAAATTTCTTGGAACAATGTGCAGATTCCAACCCGAATTTCCTCTGTTCGTACACGTTAGTCTATTGAGCTCGCTACGCGAGCGGCGCTTCGCGCCGCCTCGCTGCGCTCGCTATTAATATGTTAGACGGTGTGACCGTTAGTGAGGGCGGAACCGTGAAGAGAAATTTGGTACATTTTATTGTTTAATGATAAATCAGTTGATCAGTTAAATTCTGAAATTGTCAATGTATCTATACTTATAAATTAATAAATTTTGCAAATAAACTCCGAAACGGGTGCACAAGAGTTCTTACTTACCCGTCTAATACTACACTACATACAAGATGATGTCCGTAAACTATATTCAGATTTCACTCAGATAGTAAGTATCGTACATAAAATTAAAAGTCTACTTCAATTTTCTGAAAACAGCCATGAAATAGCATCAACGTGAGAATTGTGGCGTTTCCGGTTGGCGGATCTAAGCTACTGACAAATTTTAATGAAACTGACAACAAACAATCTATTATTTATTTCATAAAATGTCATCACTGAATTATGCAATCAAAACTTGATTTAATTGATATAAAAGAAATAAGTTGCGGTGACCAATTAAAAAGCGAAAAGTGTAAATTATTTTCGTCAATCACCGATCTCAATATTGACGGAAGCTTCTAGAACATCGCGTCCCTTTTGCTACATTGTTTTAATCAAGAAATAATTATAAATATTGTAATTAACGGGTTAATTGATTAAATAGTTTTACAACAAATGATGTTATATAAATTAGAATACAATAAAAACAATAGTTTTGTAAAAACGAGCAAAATATGCTTGGAATTTATCAGAAACATATTGTTGCCGGGAAAAAACACTAATATTTATTGATACAAGGATTATATTAGTAGACAAATGGTACATGGCAAGCATTCGCGAGATACTATGAGTGTCCGATTTGAATTCATGACAAGCCGACAGCGAGGTATCATAAGTTGAGGACGAGTAAATGACAAATGAAAATATTTTGAATATAGGAAATACATACACCGAAAGACTAAAATAGATATGTAATGTACATATATCTTTTTCTTCTGAGGTTATCGATAAAAACTGTATTTTCCGTCCTGAGAGCATCGTGGTAACGAACCTGACGTACAATTTGTAATCAACTTAAATGCGTTCAATAAAAGAGAAAACTTATGAATAAGGTATTGTTCAAATACATTTAATTACAGCTATAAAGTTTTGTGCTTTCATAAAGACATTTCAGCTTTTTTCTCTCTAAAAAAAAGTCTTCCTCCAATGCCAATTTCTTTCAGAATCAAATTTTTTGAATTCAACACTACATTTCCCTTATATGAATTTCCTGTAGTAAAAGGGGGGGGGGGGCAACCAGCCTTTCAATTAAAATTTTCAATTGTAAAAGTATTGGTGGGAAAAAAAGTGGGGGGAGGGGGGGCAGCCTTTTTACGTATTAATAAGGGTACATATATAATTATAAACCAAGACCCAAGTACCTGTGAATTTTACCGCTCCCCCAACTCCCCAAAATCAATTTATTTGTATATTATATATATTCGTTGCTTTTATCCTTCATGAAAATGAAATAAGAATATTTGAAGTGCAATATCCATAACACTGTATGAACATTTGAAGAAATAAACGTAAATTAAAGCATTTTTTATTTTCAAAGTTTTCACAAAAAGTGGGTGGGAATGGTGACGTACACATGTACAGTAATATTTCTTTCATGCGGACTTTTGAACAAAGTATTCTTCCCTCTGTAAGTCTGTAGTCTTTCAGTAAAATCTACAACTTCTAACTACAATATATAATTTTCTGTTGTAAATGGTAAAGTTCTATGTTTAAATTCAATTTCCCGCGCTTGCGCGGGTAATTATCTAGTAGAACTAATTATAGCAAAGGGTTCGCTTCATGCAGGTCTATGGTCAGTGTCAGAAAATCATAACAAAGAAATCAGTTCTCTTGAAAAAAAAAAAAGCTTTCCCATCTCTTACATGTACCTCATTACTTTTCATTCAAATAATTCAAGATACTGAGTATTTCATCATGAGATGAATGGTTGTCTAGCCAGAGCACTTAAAGACGAAGAACGTGGGAAAGAAGAGGGGCATATATTGGAACATTGGACCAGTAATGGGTTCAACATACCACGCCAAAGAAATGGAGACACCTTGGTCCAACGACACCTTAAACTTTAATAGTTATATACGTAACAGTAAACTCGTTCCAAAATACTAGTATATCCAATCAATGTTAATAAAAAAATAATCAATTCATAAAGTTTTCTGAGCACCAATTCTTTTTCTTTCACTAATTGATTTATAATTATGCTTATTTAACAACTGTACACTTATCTAGAAACCTCAAGTCATTTCTCAACTGTTATTACTCCCATTGCATGGTTATGATGTTATCTAAAGTAAGAACAATATTATTGTCAAGACCAGATCAGAAGACGAAATTGGGACCCAAACTACAGGCAGATGATCTACTTCCTGGATGAATCTAATCATCAGACCAACATTTGACTGTGTTAATTACTATCACAAGAGTTGAAAATATAACAGCATCACAACTTTTATGAGAAAAAAATTTGCAAACTAAAGGATGCACGATCAGGGACATTTAATACTACGTCCCTGTTGTGACATACCTTTTTTCTTTTTATTTATTTCTTTTTATTTTACATTATTTGTAACCCATGAATTATATTTATTGTTTTCTTAATTTTAATGAAAAATGTATCTTTCACCTTTCAATTTAAAAAAAAAAAAACAAATATGATTCAAATAGTCTTTAGAATTTTCTAAATCTAACATAATTGTACTGAAAACAGTTATATATCTGGGGAAATACTTTAAAATTAAAAGTTTTTTTTTTCTGGTACCCTTGTCATTAATACCGGGTAGTTAATTATATAATTTCAAATCCAACACTTGTGAATATAATAATAGGGTACACTTTTGAGAAGTTATGAATAGAATATTTTATCGATGTCAAACAAAGATTCTGAATATTTGCTTCATGTTTTTAATAGATAAGCACATTTATTAGGATTGAAAATTATATTAATATGCTTGATGTGTATTAAATATGAGTATTGTAGTGTGCATATAGGTATGTATACATTAACAGAATGCACTGCACTTTGAAGTCGTATAACTTTGTGGATATTTTCATGCATTTACTGAAAGATGTATGTACTACTAAACTGAACAACTACCTCTCCAGACTGTACATTATACACTGTTTAACTTATTTTTTCCTGCTTTAATTTA